TATAGAAACATGGACTAGGGCATGCCTGCTTGTCGACTCTAGAGGATCGCCGCCATAAGCAGGGCTCGAATTCAGCTTGGGGGCATAATGATATGCGCGCATCAGATTCGACAACTCCTGCTGATTAAATCCAAAGGGGGGCAAAATAAGTTTGGCCACAGGTGAATGAGCGCATGACGCACTGCCGAAATGTGCATGCGCACGTGTACAGCGAACATAGGTATGTTCTACTGTGACGCGCGCCTCCAAATAGATCACAGAGACATATCCTTCGGTGGCTCAAATGTTCCCAAAAGCATTCATAGAAAAATCCCTCTGTTGTCATTAGCTGGCTGGAGGGACGTTACCGTTGTGCCTTTGAGCCCAAAGGTCATATCCACAGAGATGCAGCCTGTGGTGCTCTATAAGACCTCTGAAATCCCCAATAGAGACACGCGAGTATTTTCGCGTTTCTTTCTACGTGCACTCATCACATTCGGATCAAATGAAAACAAATCGATCCCAGAGTCATTTTGTGAACAATACCTGACAGTCACGGCTGAAAGCGGCCTCTATACATGTTGTGGATCCCCCAAAACACGGAAAACGGATTCATAAAACTAAAACACATTTCTGCTAAAGCAAAAAGGACTCCGCAAAATCGTACATTTTATATTTTATTTCAGTTTATGAAAATAAATTGTTAAATTTCCGTATTACCCTACCTCACTGTGCATATTTATTCGAGGTGTATTTTCTATACGGATTTGCAGAAATCCTTCAATTTTGAAATGAGATTAAAGTATTTTCGAGCAGTAAAATCGTTGGAAGCTGAAGTGTGAACATGTTATCCCGCGGCATCAAATAAAAGAGAGGGATTACTCTTGTAAAACGTGTGTGGCTTGTGCTCTGGAAGTTCTCAGCACAGCGTTAATCATGAAATAATATTAAAAGCATCGGCTTTTTAACGCCATACAGGGCACCCTATTTTGTATTTTCGTTGAACCACTTTTTTAAAAACTGCAAAATAATCTCCTGTGTGTTTACAGATGTGTTGACATCGTGCAGAAATTGAATTAGAAGCTGCAGTTTCTGCGCCGCAGAGGAGCCGGAATGCTACCTGCAGGCCGGAGACGGAGGCTCTCCAGCCCCGCGTGCACACGCCTCGGAGGACACTCACGGTCCATCAGGTGTCCTGGTAGGAAGTCTGGACTGAGGACACGTTTCAGGTTCGATTTCATATGTCAGGTATTAGTGGCCTATTATTCTCCCGCGTTTGAGAAATTATTAGTAATTCTAATCCCTGACAACTGGAAGTTTCCACAAGTTTCAAATTTTGTTGCAATTAAAAATGACAGAAACATTATGTGACGATATGATTATTTAATGCTTCAAGAATTAAAACGGAATTAATGAAACACATGCAACTGAGTCATAAAATACTAGCGCAGTCAGAGAGGAATGAGTGCAGTGAGACCAATGCAAATAAGCTGCACCCTTAAAACTACGGAGCTGACATACATCTTCTCACGCTCTGAATTAATGTGCGCTAATTGAAATGAAAGTGAGCCTGAAATGTTTAGGTAAGTAGATCCCTGCTTCTTCTGCTCCTCTCTACAGGTACTGTTGTATTAACTGCCTTGTAAAATGACAGAAACCTAAAGTAGCAGAGCATGGCAACTGACACATGTGTTTCTTGAAGGATAATTATGGAGGATGGAATTAAAGTGGAACCAGGAGATATCGTAACCACGTTCCTGATTCAAACACATATCCCCAGCAGCCGGTTGAGCTGAGATCAGCCAGCACATCCGGCATTGCCTGCGACATTTGACTATATGTACAGGCCCTGACACACTGATGCTTAAGGGTAACAGAACTGTCTCGGTTTACGGGACTCCTGGAGGTGACTACAGGAGGGGAAAAAAAGGCAAACATCAAATTATCCTCATGTGGTCTGTAAGTGAACCTGATTTGGGGTTTTAGGCAATTGTGTAATTCAATATAGTTCAAAGATTGAACTCTTCGTTGACAGTTACACATTGATCTATATGCAGTAGGACGGTTTGTTTAGGATCTATGTTATGCTCTATTGGTCCTTGTGTCAATCTGTACCTTTTCTTCAGCAGCTGATCACCTTCACGCCAAGATAATCTACTCACCAGGTCATGATAGTCTTAATTAGAGGGCTATTATTAAAAAGAATTTGTTTTTCTCAGATTCCTCAGAAATTGTAGTGTTATTTATGCCAACCAATAAGTGTCCTATAGCGTTTTTAAGAAGCTTTTCCATCCACGTGGCCATGTGGGTTTGAAGAGTGGAGACAATGATGGTCCAACATGCAGGAAGCATGCGGGTAGGTTCCCCACAGGGAGCTTGGTTGCAGAGAACAACTCAAAGTGACAGGTAAAGAGGCCATGCTTGTTTACATTGTGCTATATTCTGGTCATACAAATGATTCTGGGCTGCTCACTTTCAATCAAAACCTTTTTTTATCACCCTTTTAACATAGATCTAGAAACTAATGTACTACAGAATGTCAATCTACATTTAACAACCTCTACAGTCATCCAAGACCGAGGATGCTGTACACATTGCAAAGCCCCCTGATGACACATTTTGATTTTACGCTATATAAATACAACTTGAATTAAATTAGAATTAAAATAGTTTGTAATCAGATATTTGAAAGCTTTTTTAGTTTTGAAGGTCTTACAATCACCAGATTTTCATATATTGCGCAATTCACTGAAATAATAAACGCTCAAATATCCCTCTTTTGAATTGTAAAAATGGAATCATATTTATTATGTTATTAATTGCAGGATTTTGCCACAATCCTGATTTTTATTGTGACGATACAAATTAATCCAAAGTCAAATGTTGTAAAGTAAGGATCTTTTTTTCTTCTAAATACTAAATTATACACAGCCCATCATAACAATAAGCAAATGTGGTTCGCTGAAGGAAACCAAAATAAATGTTTCAAGCCATGTATGAATTAGCATTTATATGTATTTGCACCGAGCGTCCCAGCATGCATAAGATTGGTAATATAGTGAACGAGGGCCACAGTTTGGATGTGATTAGCAAGCAGCATAAGTAAAAGCATTCACATAAACTGCTTTTCCTTTAAAGAAATGCTGATAAGATTATTCCCTCGGGTCCAAAAGCACATGCAGACATTTCTGTTCTGTTCTGCTCTTGAGCAAAGAAGCTAGCAGGAGGTCCGAAAAGTTACTTTATCTTGTAAAGTCTCCAAATGGGAAATGACAGATGATAGTAAAGCTGTCACAGCTAAACTACACTTTAAATTAATGATGGACTTGGTAGTTAATGGTAATTAAAAACGGTTGGCGTCCATCATCTTTTAGTAAAGTAAAAATGTACGCAGCCTGCCGTCATTCAATATTGTCTATGCTAATCTGCTAGCACCATGATTTGTGCCAGTCAGATGTCTCCGGTTATACGCCACTGCAAATGAAAATAAACAACACAAATAAAAAAAAATACAATATGAATGAAATAAAAAGTGATTCAAATGAATCTTACAAACATACCCCCCCCTCCACACACACACACACACACACACACACACACACACACACACACACACACACACACACACACACACACAAATAAAAACAGTACTGCGAGCTAATGCTAATGCTTTCGAGTGACCACACCAAATACAGGAGAATCAGTGACATCAGCCAGACTTAGTTTTAATGTAACCCAATTGGCCCTGGGAAGATTGATAAGCGTTCACTTTGCACTTCATTTTGCTTCCTGTTCAGAGTTCACACGTTTGAACTCAGGGTCGGTGGCACAGCACATTAAAGTTTACACCATTTACATGTCAGGGAGAGAATTCTCTTCACCATGAGATTTGACTCAGTGAGGAGGGCTTTATTGCTTTGCAAAGGACATATCTTTGTCAGTTACTGTTAGAATACATGCATCAGAACATGACAAGTTTAGTATTTTAGAATTAAAATTGATATATAGCTTACAGTGCCCAGAACCTTGAAGTGCCATTACAATGACTTGTTGCAAATGACCAAATAAGCAAATTCATTTCAAACTCACATTATGCATATACATTTTATTGTGCATTATTCTTGTAAATTACAACTCATCATATTTTCTTTTTATGTTTCAAAAGTAATAAAAACATTGTAAAATGTTTGTTGAAATTGAATAAAAGGTTTCCTGTGAAAAGGTGCAGTTTTTCTTTTGTTCTTATTCTTTAATACTCACTTCCTCTGCATGAAGGGGAGAAAAAAAAAGCTTGAGCCCATTTATACTTTATTCATGAATAATATGAACATATTTTATAATAGTTTCATTTTTTTATATTATTGTCGGTAAAATATGACATTTTTGTCATCTCTTCAAGCTTGGATATATTCCATTGGGCAGGGACCTCCTATTATATTATGGCCAGTAGTAACATGTTGATGTGATGCAATAAAGCGTGCAAGGAATAATTCAATGCTAATTTAATTTGCTTCTTTTTTTTAATCTTAGTTTGCGGATTTAAAGTTTTGTGCTGATTAGCAGAGAAACAAAAATGGCCTCTCTTTTTGCTCTCAGAACAAAGAGCCACTCGCCCATAAAAAGTCTCTTAACAGCACTTTACTGCCTGTTAAAAAATATGGTACTAATTACCAGTGGTACGATGTGCCGATGTCACCGCTGTGGTTCAAATGCAAACGGCACAACTAAGAGTCATCAGAGTGAGAAAAAGGACAGACTGTTCATTCATTTCTTTGGGTTTTATTATGTTTTTTTAATTTCTTGCATGACTCCTCGGAAAAGTCGAAGTATTTCACAAAGTAACTCCCACTGTGAAAAACAAGCATTTGCTCTGAATTAAAACACGTAGATGCAATGCATGCCCTCAGTCAGTAAAAGAGAAACAACAGGCCGTCATGGGGTCCGTTATCTAATGTGTCTCTGCTTTTCTGCTTTCAGTTTTCAACAAGACAAATGTTCTGCTTAAGACCAACAAGCAGGCAAAGTGTGTTGAAAAAAATAATTTCTGATCATCAAAGTAAATCTCTAAAGCTAGCACATTTACAAGTATAATGCATTGATTTAGAGAGTAATAACTAGAGGCGAGAAAATGAGTTTGGTAGAAAATGACTAATGAACAAAATACAGCATGAGGGTCTCTATTACTACGCTCAATGAAAATTCTGTATCCGGAAAGGCCAAGCTAGGAAATATATCTAAATGATGTCAGAAATGTCGCAACTACAGGGTAAACATCTAAATGACTTCAGCCATGGAGTAATAGTGTCATGTAATTACTGCATCTTTTGTCAAATGTAATTATATGATAATCAAAGGCATGAGAGGGACAAATTTAATCAAAAACATTTAGGGAGAGGCCATGAGAGTAGCAACACACACACACAGAGGGAAAAGGAGCTGCTATACGTCACTGACTGGAATAAACATGTTTCCTTTGTTCGGCGCTCCCACTCTCATGGCTCCTTCAGACAATAGGCACGCCGTAAAACTTCAAACACACACGCAGAATGATGGCGGGCGGCACAGAGGAAACATCAGCTGCAGCGAGGACAGGACGGCTGGCTTCTGATCACACAGCAGCAAGGTTAAAAGCAGAGTACGGTAGATGTGTGAGGCTGATACTGGCCTGTCATTAAGAATCCGATATGGAAAATAAAAGAAGTTCCTCCCTGACCTGTATCAAAATACTCTGTCATGAAACTACATACAAACTGCTTTGGATTTGGTTATCTGCCGGCAACACTTAAAATAGTAGCAACTTAATATCAGTCAAGCTGAGAGGAAATTAGCTTTCAAGAGTGTACAACAAATGTTTCTCAGTGTTTTCCCCCAAATCATTGCAATTTCAACACTGCGTTACATCTCAAATTTAAAACAATTGGAAATCAAGACAAAACCACATTGGCAGCTTCATTAAAATAATCAAATAGTAACACTGTATGTAGCTGCGATCACACTGAGGTGTGAGTCACCGAATGATAAAGTAACGACACAGAACACACGACAGGGAAAAACAAATCCAAGACATCATTTGGTTTGCTGCGTGTCAATGCGATGCTGCGTGGACAGACATGGGGGAGACGGGCGGGGGTGAGGGGAGAGTCTACGGGAAGTTGGTCGGGAAGAGACTGAGCGGCTGGCTCTCGTTGGTGGGGAGGGGGGAGCGGTAGCCTTCGAAGTAGCGTGGGATGCTGCCGCTGGTGGAGCCCGAGCTGTTACTGAGGGTCTCGATGCTGCCCTCCCTCTGCAGCTCTGCAGAGACACACAGGGAGAAAGAGGGGGAGAGAATGAGAAATGATCCGTTTTCAAGTTCATCAGACAACACAACTGTCCGGCTGAAATGTCCACATGCACAGTTTGTCCTCTGGCACACACTCTGATGCTAATTCTGACAGAAACAAAGTCCTCATCCTCAGAGCTGCTATCAAGCCTAAATACCTATTATGGAAGAAAGGAACTTTCCTTTCTTCCATAATTTGTTGCATCAAGTATTTGAGTTGAACGCTTTGTCAAATCTTTTTCTGAAAAAATTAACCATATTTTGCATTCATATTTTTTTACAATGTTTCTTGAATGCTTTTGTTAAGACATCATTAAAGGGCCGTTTGAGTATGTTGTTTTGTTAAATTACTGAAAAAGGGATTTAGGACAAAACAACCAAATAGGCTGTCTTGGTATCTGTACAGAAGGTGTATTGTAACCATTATAAGCCCCAGACTTACTCATCGCTTAAAGAAGCAAACAAGGTTGAATCAAGGTCAGCTAGATATTGCATAACGGTTTCATGTAAAAACTGAAGTTGTTAGAGATCTTTCTTAAACGCATTTTGAAAAGCATGCACAGTCATGTGATCAGATAGGTTGACCTCCTCCCTCCCCCCTGAAGGTGAACATTTTCACACCGACTGACCAGACTTTTCATCTGTAATTGTGTTTATGTTCTATAGCGTTATATCCAACTGATGTAAATTAGGGTCAAAACTATAAAAACAACATATATATAAAAAAACAAATCGATGATCTGTGATTCAGCATGAACGCAATTAAAATTTTTTCAGGAAATCTGAGATTATTTTAAACGAGTCCTGTGCCAAAGAGGCACACGACATGAACAGCATCATTACTTGATTGAACAGAAAGAAGGAATAAAAAAAGGAGATCCCTTCCGATTATATTACCATGAATTACTCATCCAATATAATAGTTATTAGCAGCGGAAGTCCACAGCTGTGAGATTATAATGTCAGATATATGGGCAGAATAGCGTGCGCGTAAATGGCAGCACAGTATTAAGAATGGAAGCCCTTTACTGAACCTCTGTGGTTTCAGACACTGTTAAGATGATGAGATCCATGAATTTGTGCAGGTCATGAGATGCCATAACAGAGTGCATAGTGATTTAAAAACATAGTATTCTACAGCATAAAACCTCTCCGACCATTACCAGAAATCCGCTGGTCGCCTCACGAATTAAACCAACAGGAAATGCACTGGTAAATGACATTGTTTTATGTCATTTACCAAATGTCAATGCGTTGTTTAGATGCCTGGCTCCGAATCAACATGTTGACATGATTGTCTGTACTTATATTCCTAACAAGTGTACAGAATGATAATAACTGTAAACTGAGATGCTCTCCTTAGCTTACAGTTTCCTTCTGGTATCAGTTTAAAACTGTTTCCACAGCAGCTTTTAAAGCACCAGAGAATCATTCAATGAATTCTCTCTACGGTTTGAGTGGACGTTGAATTGTACACTACGGCCTGTCAAAAACGAACTGCACAGCGAGTCAGCGACCTTGAGATGAACATGAGGTCTAATTAGCTTAAGAGTCTTTTCAAACTCGTACTGCACTGACATAAAACCACAGCGTGTGTTTAATACGTCCTGCAGATGTTCAGAGGCCAACGTGGAAACTGTCTTTGTCACGTACGGCATGCAGGAAGTGGGAGCTTCTTACTTTAGCCAAGGGAAACCTAATACAAACCACACTGTTATTATCCCGGCTAACACGCAATGTGCCACACTGTGGTGTTATCCCAGCCCGCTGCCTGCCCCCCCACCCCGTTTCATTCCCCAGCACTACACAGGGCAGACGTGCTGCAGTAATCCCAGGCGGAGCGAGGGCTTCTGGTTCACACTGGTCTGGGTTCAGTCAATGTGTGGATTTATAAAGCAACTCACACTTTTGCTTTATTGGATGAGGCTGTCGTTAGTTGCACTAATTTGTTTTAACCAGAAAATTCCACAACGTGTAATGAGATTATAAACCTATAAAAGAGCTCACTGGGTAGTATACGGTGGACAATGTAGCTGTTTTATTGTTGTACATTCAGGATGCTAATGAATTGGTATGTCCTCAGTGAAATACAAGATGCATACCAGCAACTGCAATTGCGCGGTAATAAAGTGTTTCAACTATCTCATATCATCTGTACATTCGGATAAGGCCTGCATGGATACATCGCTGAGAACAACATACCAGATATGTGCAGTGGGATCTCTAGTTTAAAACACTCGTGGGGATTTTGCGCTTTAAAAAACAATTTCTTTACTCACGCGCACAAAGTACCACAGCGCCAGGGTTTATCTGGAAGAATATGGGTCATCAGCACTGATATCAGTTTTCCAGCCACAGCTCCAGGCAAGCAGAGACAAGTGGTGGAGCCACAGAGAGTGAGCCTCACTTCTGCTCCGCGGCGTTGCACCGGTCCTGCTCCTCGTCTCAATGCCGATGTGACACCCGCAGGTCCTGTAGGAGGACGAGGAACCTCGAGCAAAATGCTGCTTCTTTCTAGCCACGGTAACTTTATTAAGCTGTGTTCTTTCTCTCAATCAGTCAAATGTGACTCGTGGTTTGCTCTCTTTCTTACATCACAGCTTCGCTGCTTTCTACCACGCTGACAGGTCTGCCAGCCACTTGCCCTCCCAGCTGGCCCTTTTGCCAGCTCGATCTGCTCTGTTGCCGTGTTATTGTAGGCGCCATAAGCTGCTGAACACCCCAGTAAAGCCCCAAAGGCCTTTTCTAGTGCTGCCTAATCCACCTCATTGTGTGACGCCCACCAGCCATTCAACAAGTCTTAACCTCTCACGCCCCCGACACAATCCCCCAGCACTCTAATGTTGGAGATCTTTTCCTCTGGGGCTGATGTCGCTAGGTAAAGCAATATGCTTATTTACAGGGTGGTTTGTCCAACCCATGTGTGGATAATACCTTTCTGCACAATAAAGAAATAAAAGACCAATAAAGAAATGGAAACAACTGTAACGTTTGATTGACATAGGCTTTTAAATGACGGCTGATATGAGGCAGCTGATATTTGGGGCTATTAAATGCATGAATATAAAATACATGTATTTCAAAAATTATAGCTGTTAACAGCACCTTAAGTCTGACATTTCATGTATTGCATGATGTGTTTTCTCCAGTGTTTCATTTTTCTCAATGAAAAACATCTTAAACAGAGTTTAGACCATTTTAGGTCTCTGAAATATCTCATCACTTACTTTCCCGTGTTGAGCCTAATCTTGGAAGTCATTCTGTTGTTTGCTGTTGACTTTGGGACTAGAGCTGTGACGATACCAGTGGCCAGACTTCAAAAGAAAGTACTGGTCAACCAGTCAAGAAAGATATCAGTAAAACAGCAGCGGATGCCACGTGTAGAGATAACAGAGGAGATTTTTCAGGCCAACGTTGGATGGATTCTTGGCAATGTTAAACAAAGGGGAAAAGGTGGCTGCTTTTTGGACACAGTCCTCGTCCAATCCGACTGAGACACATATAACAACCAAGAGGCAAGTTAATACCTCATCAGCCAATCGGACATACAGAAGAAATGATAAGAAACAAAGCAGTCTGCACCCTCGACTGTGAACAGGCCTTAATCCTCTTATACCCTCCCACAAACACACACACACACACACACACACTCTCCAGCAGACTTTCATTTTCATACCAGCTGAATTTAACCTCAAATGCAAA